ACCCTCTACTGCCACATTACTAAAGGCCCATTTACTGCGGGTCCTTTTACCCACTACCTCATGTCTGGCTTTCAACAAAAACTCACAAGGCATATTATAAGGCAAAAAACATAGTTTGATGACAGAACAAACATCAGAACCAGACTCAGATATGGCAGAGATGTTGGAATTATCAGACTAGGAGTTTAAATAACTATTATTAATATGCTAATGATTCTCATGGAAAAAGCAGACAACATGCAAAAACCGATGGGTAATCTAAGCAGAGAGATGGAAATTCTGAGAGAGAATAAAAAAGGAATGCTAGGTATCAAAACCACTGTAACCGAAATGCAGAATGCCTTTGATGGGCACATTAATAGACCACATATGGCTGAACAAAGAATGTCTGAGCTTGAGAATCTGCAATAGTAACTCTCAAAACTGAAAGGCAAAGAGAAAAAAGACTGTGGGAAAAAAACCCAGAAAGAATATCCCAGAAGTGTGAGACAAATACAAAAACTGTAACATACGCAAAAGAAGAATAGAGAAAGGGACAAGAGAAATATCTGAAAAAAAAGGAGTCTTGAGATTAAGAAAAAGTTTGAGAATCACTACTTTAAACATTTTCGAGAAAACATACAACTGTATTTATTTTCCAATCTTCTGACACAGAGAGAGGATATTTTCTTGTGTGTGAGTCCACTAATTGGACTCTTAAATAAATCACACCCATGGCACATTGTCTACAATTTTCAATTTAAATTTCTTAAAGCAGAGTAAGAATTTGAAGATTTTTGCAGAAGAATTGTGGTGCAGGATCTGTCTAGATTTTAACAATTTTCTCCCTGACATCTAATATGACAGCAATTTATTTTACTATGAATCTATCCAAAGCATTCAACTTAATTTTCATAAAGACAACACTTTCCACTCTCTTTTTAGGTCAGTTTGTGTAATTTAAATTAACTTAATACAACTACAAGATTAACAATTGGCTTGAGTAGGCTGGGAAATAATCATAACTACCCTTAGTGTAACTCCCAGCTACAGGGAGCAGGCATTTTGGGCAGCCAGGAACCTGACATGGGTGCTGGTCCCCACATTTTGCAGTGGGAATGGAGAGTATAAGTTAATCTCGGTAGCCAGGTAAAGGGAGATTGATTAAAAGCATTTTGCAAAACGTGGAAACCACTATTAATATTAGTGCCCGACTATTAACTCAAACCCTCCTTGCCCACTAATCCATAATCCTCAATTATAAGAAAGACTTCTTATTTTCATCCTTATCTTCAGTAACCATCACAGTGGGGATAACTTGGGGAATATTTTGATACCAAGTCTAAACAACCCTTCAGTCCCCAGTCCCCTATGCTAGTTTAAATATCCTCTCCTTTGTATCTCCTCTGTTTTTTTATTGTTGTTTTTGTTTTGTTTTGTCTTATTTCATTTTCTTTCTCTTTCTTGGTTTTAAAACCCTGCCCTTTGCTCAACCTTTCTCTTTATCCCTGATCTGTCCCTAAGCCCTGCAATGTCTTCTGCTGACAGGTCTCTTACACTGGACCCCCCTCATGCCCTTTTCCCTGACTTTCTTCCTCTGTCTCTTCCCTGCCCCCAGGATCTCATATAAGTTAAGGGCACTTGGCAATTATCTCACAGAATGTAGCTGTCACCAGGAACTTTCTGGAGGCCAGAGGCCCTATCCTTGTCATTTCGCTCTCTTTCTAGCATCTGGTGCTGGCCCATGGCACATGTCCCTTGCTTCCTGATTTCAAGGGCAGGGGCCAGGGCTGGTCAGCTCTGGATGTGTGCTGAGGAGCTGCAGGGGAGGCCATGCTCAGGGCACATGTAGATGACCAGTGTGTCTGTCTCAGCAGAGGCAAAGTTTTTCCCTCTTGTTTTGACAGTTAGGGTTGCAAAGGCAAGTGGCACAGCCTCCTCAGACAGACATAACATTGTGGCCAAAGCATGGTCAGAACTTAGTTATTGCCTCTACTTGCAGGAATGCCAACAAGGACAGGATAAAAACTTTTTAATCCAAGGAACATTTCTTTTTTTTTTTTTTTTGAGACGGAGTCTCCCTCTGTCGCCCAGGCTGGAGTGCAGTGGCGTGATCTCGGCTCACTGCAAGCTCCGCCTCCCAGGTTCAGGAATCCAAGGAACATTTCTTTGCAGCGAGAGTTAAGATTTACATAGAGCTGTCCGCAACTTGTATAATTGGGTCTGTGGGACGCACACCCTAAACTCCTGTGAGGCCCTTCACCAAACTTTAAATTGCTTCTGGGATTAAAACTGGCTCCCAAACAACCAAGGCTCTAAACTGCTCCATGGCTCCCTGATAGAATCTCTGGAGAGCAGGTCTGGGTGAAGGCACAGGGTGCCCGCCCTGAGCATGCAGGCAGGGCATGACTGCAGAATCAGCGGGAAGCAGCTCCTCGAGCTGTCCTTCCTCTTGGCATCTCACCAGGCACGGAGGTGAGGAAAGTTAGCAGGAAAGTTAGCAGCTAGAGCCCCTTCAGCTATGGCCAACCCCACATTCCCTTTACCTTGCTGTGAAATTTGAAGAAATTGTTTAGTTCCAAGACAGCTAAATAGAATTTGCTATATGCTTCCAGGCACAGCCCCAACCGATGGGGCTAGCTGGAGATGGTCAATGTGGGCAGTTGGAACAATCATTTCTCAAGCCTGGAGACCTTCCAGCATCATCCCCTGCTATGAGACCTTTTGTCCAGGTAAGTGCCTGTCTCCATCATGGACTTATCTCCACACTGGATGTAGACTGGGTTCTCTCTGTGGCTAAACCTTCTTCAGGTAGGTGAGCAGAAGAGCAAAGGTTGTGAGTGGGAACTTGGCCATAGCTTCCATAGGGTCTTTTATAAGGGAAAGGGAGCAGGCATGTTCTGGGAGTCTAGGCCTGTGTGGGGATGGGGCAGAGTAGGCGGAAGAATGGGGAATAACATTAGAAGGAAGCTTCTGCCCAGTGTAAGGAAAACCTTTCTAGCAATGGAGGCCATCCGACAAAGGAATGGGAGGTATGAGCTCTACCTACCTTAAGGTGTTCCAAACAAAAATTGGAAAATTGTGTTGCATGGAAGGTATTCGTGCAATGGAGGGAAGCGAGACAAGACCAGTTACTTTACAATATCTCCGCCAAGTCTAAGATTTTCCAGTCAGCAGTGCTAGTAACTCTAAAGACGGATCTCTTTTCCCCACATATTCCTGATGTTCACAGTCAATCTCCTCTGATAACTGCATGAGGATGGCTTCAAACTGGGCCCAGTTTCTCCCACCAGATCTTTCCCAGCCAGCAACAGTGTGATAGTTACAGATGGAATGTGTGGCTCCCAGGGACACCATCCACCCCCACCCAAGCCCTGACATGAGGCAGAGATCTTGGAGAAAGGTGTGATACCTCTACTCTTCATGAATATCCTAGGGAGAGAGAGGATAATCAAGACTTCATAGTCGATTCTTTAGTGCTTGGTAGTTCTACTCTGGCACAAATGGACCAGCAAGGATCTAATCAGAATGGTAAGGGAAGGAGCCTTGGGGAGAAGGTGAAGAGCCACCTGGCCCTGTCCTTGCTGCCTGTGCTCCTTTCTGAGCCTCAGCTTCCTCATCTTAACATGAGAAGTCAAGGCTTGAGGTTTTCTTTCTTTTTTTTTTTTTTTCTTTTTGAGACAGTCTCGCTCTGTCACCCAGGCTGGAGTGCAGTGGCACGATCTTGGCTCACTGCAAGCTCCGCCTCCTGGGTTCACGTGATTCTCCTGCCTCAGCCACTCCAGTAGCTGGGACCACATGCGCCCGCCACCATGCCCGGCTAATTTTTTTGTATTTTTAGTAGAAATGGGGTTTCACCGTATTAGCCAGGATGGTCTCGATCTCCTGACCTCATGATCTGCCCACCTCGGCTTCCCAAAGTGCTGGGATTACAAGCATGAGCCACTGCACCCGGCCAAGGCTTGAGGTTTTCTCTAGTGTGCTGGATCTATAGGTCTGCGGTGCCATTTTCAGCCTCCTTTGAGCGATCCCTCTGTAAGCCTGGGTGGAATTGTCTGCTCTTTCGTGGAGAAACCGTTACTATGACATTGCAGTGGTTTAATGGTCAGCTTGGATATAGAAGGCCCTGAGTTACGAGTTGTGACATAAAACTGCTTCCAAAGCACAGAATCTACCCACAAACTCACACTGGGAGGCATGAGGGACACTTGTCCTTGGATTCTATTCCTGCTCCTTCATGGGTCTGGAGCAGACTGGGAAACAGCAGTACTGGGAACAAAGGCTGGTTAGAGGGGATATGGAAGTGCTTCTGTTAGTGTCTCCAAGCTCTCTTGCTCAGAAACTCCTCATTGACAGGGCAGCCAAGGGAGATCCCCAACCAAACTCACGAGAAATGAACTAGAAACCAGGAATCAAGTAACAAATGTAAATGCTGGATAGACCCTAGTTTTCCCGATCTCTGCTCATCACATACTCCCTGGGAAGGACTGTATTTGGAGCTGAATTATCATCAGAGAATTAGAGCCAGGGGAGTGGGTGGGGTGATGTCAGTGGCCAGCATCACTGAGTGTGACAGCCTGAAGCCCCCAAGGACACTGCAGGGACAATTCAGGGACAAGCAGGGCTGGCCAGAGGAGCCCACTTCCCTGGTCAGTGTTGGAACCATGCAGCATGCCCTCAAAGGTCCTCTTTTATGGAGCTTATGCAGATCCTTCCTTGCATATCCATTCCTTCAAGTGTGTCAATACCACTGATCTGATGAAAATTCTTTCATTTATCATGGTTTGATTAGATTTCCAGGGTCTGCTTCTCCTACTTTTGATCTGACATGTCCTGACTTTTAAGGTAACTTCAGTAGGCAGTGAATTTTATCTGTTAGCTGCTGATATTACAGTTTGGCATCTCAAAGGGTAAATTTGATTATATGTTCTAGAAGCGTCTCATTATAAATACCACATACTGATCTTTATAAACATGTTTGCTGTTCTCAGTTTCCCTAAATGGGGAAGAGAGAATTTAAAATGGAAGTGGCCAACCAATCCATTGTGGCAGAATTTGTCTTGCTCGGCCTGTCAGATCAGCCAAGGCTGGAGAAAACATTCTTTGTGCTCATCCTGCTGATGTACCTGGTGATCCTGCTGGGCAACGGGGTCCTCATCCTGGTGACTGTGTCCGACTCCCACCTACACACACCTATGTACTTCTTCCTCGGGAACCTCTCCTTCCTGGACATCTGCTACACAACCTCTTCCATTCCTCTGGTCCTGGACGGTTTCCTGACTCTCAGGAAAACCATCTCCTTCTCAGGCTGTGCAGTGCAGATGTTCCTCTCCTTTGCCATGGGAGCCACAGAGTGTGTGCTCCTGGGCATGATGGCGTTTGATCGCTACGTGGCCATCTGCAACCCCCTTAGGTACCCAGTAGTCATGAGCAAGGCTGCCTATGTGCCCATGGCTGCCAGCTCCTGGGTGGCTGGTGGAGCCAACTCCTTGGTGCAGATCTCTCTTGCAGTACAGTTACCCTTCTGTGGGGATAACATCGTTAATCATTTCACCTGTGAGATCCTGGCAGTTCTGAAGTTGGCCTGTGCTGACATCTCCATCAATGTGATCAGCATGGGGGTGACCAACATGATCTTCCTGGGGGTCCCAGTGCTCTTCATCTTTGTCTCCTACATCTTCATACTCACCACCATCCTGAGGATCCCCTCAGCTGAGGGACGGCGAAAGGCCTTCTCCACGTGCTCTGCACATCTTACTGTAGTGGTGATTTTCTATGGGACTATTCTTTTCATGTATGCAAAGCCCAAGTCTAAGGACCCTCTGGGGGCAGACAAACAGGATGTTTCAGACAAGCTCATCTCCCTCTTTTATGGAGTGTTGATCCCCATGCTCAACCCCATCATCTACAGCCTGAGGAACAAGGACGTGAAGACTGCTGTGAGGAGCCTGGTAAGTCAGAAATGCTTCACCCAGCAATAGTGAGAGGAAGCAGTGTGTCTTTTGGTTCTGTTTACACAAGGGGTCTACTCAGTAAGCACAGTCTTGCTTAATGGTCCCACACAACAGTTTCCAAACTGATGTTCACTGAGATGGGGCTTTCTTCGTGATGGAAGATGGAACACTAACTCTTTAGAATGTGCTAAATTACCTAGAACCGAGAATAAGTGACTATTAAATTTTCTTTGTATTTTTATTCTGAAAAAATAAGCAATAAAAATTAGAACTTTGTAAAACAAACACTTATTTCTTTGTTCATGTGCAGACCAGTTTCAATTTGTATGTGACAATTACGTTGTTTTCTGTTGTACTGTGTAATGGGGAGCATGACAGTGAGGAAAAGTCACTTTTTTTTTTGAGAAAACCATTTTTATTATCATCACCACCCAGGTTATCTGTGCTAAGTTATGTGCCGAATGGCCAGATCTTCAAAAGAACAGCTACATAACATTTCTTTCATGTTTCAAGAGATGAAAATAACTGTACAAGATTAAGTACAAAAGTACACAAGATAGTAGACATGAAAAAGATCCATGTGTGAGATTTTTATCCCACCTACAGCTTTTATGTATTGAAAAGTAGAATTCATGATCTAAAAAATATTGTCCTTCTATAGTCCTGTCAAGTTTAGTGTAAGTGGGTTTAACCTGATTACAACACTAACACCAGTGTCACTTATCTGATATTTATAAAAATTCATATTTTTCAATAAATGAAAGTCAGTGTAACACCCATGCAAGCTAGAATGCTAGCTGTTTGGTGAACAAGGGCCTGATATCAGAACAAGAAGTATATAAAGTCCCAAACTTTAAAGTATGATCTTTTTCAAACTGCATCCATTCCTCACATTGAAGATGTGAAACCCAAACCCATTCCTCTTTGTGTGTGGATTTGTGATCTTGCCTTTTCATATGGAGCATCTAAACTTCTAAATACTTCTTCCTATTGCTTCAGAGTCTTGTAACTTTCTTCATCAACTGAGCTACATCGAGCTTCATCTTCACTCTTAATACCCATCAATTTCCTAAATTTGACATTTTGGTCCTTGTTTCCAAAATTCAATTTTTCGCGTATTTCAGCAGATTAAGATTTGTCCTCTTCTTTCTTGCCCTGCCAAAGCATTTTCCTTTTTTTCTCTTGTTCAGCAAATTTCAATGGATTCACATGGAAATTCTGCTGGGTTATAGTAGCTAGGTACAGCTATTCCTGTCTCTGCCAAAGCTTTAGCTTGCAGGGCTGCCATTTGAGCTGTCATGGCTATCTGAGGTATTACTTGCTTTCCTGATGCTAACAGGGCAGCAACATTGAGAACAGAACCCCCAGTAGCTGCAGCTGCTGCAGTCATTTCTTGTTGTTTTTGTTTTTCAACCATTTTCTTGTATCGCTGTTCTTATAATTTCTTTGCCCTTTCCAACCTCCTAGCTAAAGCTTCTTGTGTATCTATTGCTGTGTTTCTGCCTCTGAAGGGAAGTGGACTCGGAGTCCAGCTTTAACTTCTGCTAAATCTTCTCGGTTTTTCAATTCTCTTTTTTCTATCTCGACTCCTACTCTTTGTCCTACTCCTGCTTCGAGTCCTATGCCTGTGTCTCGATCTTGAGCAGGAATGAGACCTGATCTGCCTTTTTCTTTCACTGCTTCTGGATCTTGATTTCTTCCCCTCTCTGCTTCTAGGTTGAGACTTCTTCCACTCCCAACTCCTGGATCGGGACTTCTGCTCCAGCCTGCTTCTACTACGATGGCGTCTTTCACGAGACCTAGATCTTGAGTGACTTCTGCCTCTTGATGACTCATTTTTTGCATTTGTGCTTGTCCTCACTATTTTCAGATTAATTTAGTTGCTCTCTTTCTTTATCAGAGGAATGTTCTTTGTCATTATGTTCCTCAGATTTGTGTTTCTTAGAGGATTTTTCTTTGGATTCATGTCTTCTTGCCTCTTTGCTTCTGTTCCAGCTCCTGTGTTTTCTTCCTTTATTACTTGACTTTCATTTTCTTTCTCTTGACCTTGATCGTGATCTTGAATAATAATGTTTTGAGGCTCCAGGAGAAACAGATACATCTGACTACTCTTTTTTCTTATCTCTATCTGGTGATGTCCTTTGTGGGGTTAGTCCATCTCATTCTGTATCACTAGCTGCCACAGTTCAGAGTCCTGGCCGCTAGGGCCGCACCTCCACTTGCTGCTTTCAACAGTTGGAAAAGTCACTTCTTAATTGGCATCCAAATTGAAAACCAATCTGCTATTTTAGAAAATTGCCAATATCAAGATGCATCCTGAATGACATCATTTAACCCCTCTTTGACTATAGGAGCTCAGAGTGTTGTCTGATTAATTATTTCCTGCTTAATATCCTAGAGAAAATTTTGGGTAACTCTTTTTCCTCTTAATATACATAGAGCATGTCTATTTTCTACCCAAAGTCACTGAAGAGTTTGCTGCAACACCACCAAACTAGATAATACAGCCCAAGAAGAGAATCATTAGCAGTCTTCCTCTAGATAAATCATTACTACAATATGAAGTTTATATTCACAGTCCATTTCATTTCTTTATGATTTTAGATTGGATGCTGGCAATAATTGCTCAAGCCTACTAATAATTACCCTTCTGGCTAAGAGCATAGACTTTGCAACCAGACTAACATGGAGTACCTCTGCCTGCACACTTCAGACCTGTTTAGAAAGAACTATTTAATCTTGTGGACCCTTAGTTTCCTCATTTGTAAGATGGAAATAATTAAACCAACTCCATAGAGGTGTTGTGAATATCAGTATGTGTATGTTAAAAATGCATAGCGGGACAGGGCGCCCAAGATGGCCGAATAGGAACAGCTCCAGCCTCCAGCTCTCAGTGTGAGCGACACAGAATATGGGTGATTTCTACATTTTCAACTGAGGTACTGGGTTCATCTCACTGGGGTGTGTCGGACAGTGAGTGCTGGTCAGAGGGTGCAGCCTGACCAGTGAGACCTGAAGCAGGGCAAGGCATCGCCTCACCTGGGAAGTGCAAAGGGGAAGGGAATTCCTTTTCCTAGCTAAAGGAAACTGAGACACACAACACCTGGAAAATCAGGTAACTCCCACCCTAATACTGCGCTTTACCAAGGGTCATAGCAAATGGCACACCAGGAGATTATATCCCACACCTGGCCCAGAGGGTCCCACGCCCACGGAGCCTCCCTCATTGCTAGCACAGCAGTCTGAGATCTAACTGCAAGG